CAATGAAAAGCCTTGCCATATCAGGAGACGGCCTTTTTGTCAAGTATTTTTTAACCACATCAATCCAGGTGGGCTCCATAATGACAAATTTTCGAGAAGATTTTGTTTTTGTTTGAGGGATATTTATGACTATCATATCCTCTCGTGTATCTACATCTGTCATTTTCATGTTGCAGAGCTCATCTGTCCGACAAGCTCCTGCAATTCCTATAATGAGAATAACCTGGAAGCAAATGTAATTTGGCGTTTTTTAAAATCTCATTGTCAATTAACAGAATTACCTTAGACGAAAGAAAAATTTCATCAGGTGCTTCTAAAATAAATTTTGTGATTTGATGCTTCTCAAAAACAGCCGCCTTTTTGGGTGTGTAGGAATCATTTTTGCGTTTGAGAAAAGCAATTACTTTATAATATTTTGAAATATCCACATTTTAAGAGTTTGTTTTAACATAGAAAATGTGGCCCATAGACTGGAAGCTTTTTTGTTTTTAGCTTTTTCTTCCATATAAACAAGAAGGACATTTTCTGACACTTTGGCCACTTTTTTAATTTTGCACCAATCTTTGAATTGTGCGTAAACTTTTAAGTAGAACTCTTTTGATTTTTGTGGCAGTAATTGATCACACTGCACGTTACTTGCTTCTTTTCGGATTTCTGGCGGGGTGCACACACTAGTATCTTCGTCGCTAGTCGACATTTTGCTCTTTATTAAGATTTTTGGTTTAATGTCATTTTTATTCATTTGTTTTCACAGGCTATTTGATTTTCATGGATATCTTAAATTCGTTCCGACTTTTATACATTGTCATTAAAGAAAAGTTAAACAAATGTGCTAGTAGTGAAAAAAATAATATATAAACCACGGGAGAGAACCATTTTATAGCCTCGCTTTCATTATTACCCTCGACGCTACGCGTCTCGGGTATAATTCAGCTCGGCTATAAAAATTGTTTTCTCTCCCTTGGTATATAATTACTATTATACCTATTATAAATTGCGATCACCAAAAAGACTTCATCTAAATAGTTGAATTTTTCTTGTCTCCACCCCGGGCAATAGACGATGATGACAAATAACAGAACGATTTTTGTTCATTACGGTTTTAAAATGTAATGGTATTTTTCTCCAACCATCAATAATATTCCTTGTAAGTTTAGTATCTCCAGTGCTAAAATTCGTTGAAAAATCTGAAGTTTCAAAAGAAGTAACCATCTTTAGGTGCTAAAGAGAAATTGGAGATTGATCTGTCAAATATAAAATTTCAGCACAAAATAACATATTTAGGATGTTGAAACTGAAAATTTTATTTGTAATCGAATAATTGTTGCAACTAAATTTATACATTCATATTAAATTTAAATCACAGTTGAGTTTAACAATGAAATAAAATACCAAATTTTATTCATATGCAGGTAACTTTAAAATGTGTCTCGTGGTTCAGACTGGAAAGAAAAATTATTTTTATTGGGCGATGAACAACAAAAGAATGAATTACATTTTTTACTCCCTGGGCGTAAATTAAGGAAATTTTGTAATACTATCTATCGGGTCACTGACTACTTTCATGTTTTGTCGACGTTTTATGTCCTCTAGAGTACGAAGAAACAGGTCTTCCGTTTCCATCAGTCTGTCTATGTCTGTCTATCTGTCTGTCTGTCTGTCTGTATATCTGCCGTCTGTCGTGTGTGTCGATTTTTATTAGGTGCATAATCTTTGGAACTACCCGATTATTATCAGATTTTGTGTATATGTTAAAAATATTGTGTAAACAATATAAAACGCTAACTAAAATTTGCCTAATCATCCCCATCGATAATTTGATGACGTCCTCTAACCTTTTTTTAGCAAACACTATTTAAATTTTATAAAATCGCCTACTCTTATACACATTTTATTTTCTCATTCTGATTTACTTTCTCGAAAATTTGAGAATAAAATAATGTTCTGTCCGCCCATATTTAATAATCATAAAATAAAAATTATCATAATAATAACCACTTATCCCAATTTCAAATTCAAAACGTTTGATCCAATTTTAGTCTCCTCCTCTGTTTTAAGGAAGCACCTTGCTTAAGAGAAGCCCTACATTTGGCTTATGAAATTTTTCAATGTGTTTTCAGAATGTAATATCTCCGTATCTCCATTATTAAAAGACTAATTGTAATGAAATTTTAAATATAACCTGTTCACACCTTTCGCTAGATAACGCATTAGCAGCTTTATAAAAAACAATTTATCGTCCTCTTCTTTTTAGCATTTTGTTGAAATTTATCATTACGTATTTTTAAAAATTATTTATGGAAATTATATGAAACACAGTTTTCACCATTATTTCAGCTTTTCAGTCTTCACGTTACCCCGGAAACACTGTCAAGTTTTTTTGTCTGAAATGAGATACACCAAAAAGAAGCTTGTGACAAAAAAGCTGCGTTTACTGTATCTCATTTTCAACAAAAGAAATCGACAATGTTTTCCACGTAACGTGTTGAACTTTCTAAGCTGAAAACAGTGATGAATTTCCCTAAATAATTGAGATATTGATTTTTAAAAATAAGTGATGGTGATTCTGAGAATGTATTAAATACCCCGCAGTGAAAAAGGAAGGGACTCGCCTTAATCGTCACATTCTTTCGATGAATAAAGATAAATAATCCAAGTTAAACATGTTCTCATAATGTATTTTTGCCGTTGATTATCTGCTTTAATGTATGTACGTGTAGGTATTTAATATTGTTGACACCTATACGGAGAATAGAATTTTTTAGAGAAGCTGTATTTGTTCGAATAAACTTCAAATGCGAGGGAACTTTTGCCTAAAAAGCTTTACACGAATTGTTTTTTTACTGTCACTTACCAAGTACGGATAATTTTAACAATATCTAAGGCAGGTAAACAATGGAAAAATATATTATAAGCACATGCTTAACTTCGACTGTTTAAATTTACCTATATATCGAAAAAATTCAACTATAAAGCACGTAGAGATGCTGGACAAAAAATATGGATTTGTGTAAAAAAACGAAATTTGATAGATTTTGTCTCCTTAAAGCGTTTTGCATATTATTTTGGATAAGTATCTCTTTTTATGATAACTATTATTTTATTATTATTAAATATATTTTCATTATTTCTAAAAATGTGTTAAAATTGTCACAAAATTAATAGACCAATTGTATACCTATGGTTTTATTTTTGAACGCGGAATCAAAAATTATACTTATTCAGAATTATTAAAAAATATATTTAGGTACTGAAATTTCCTTGTCTCGGAAATACAGCGTTTTCGAAAAATTCTAAAATTTGATTTTAAGATTTTCTTTTCTTAAGAATATGGTGCCAAATTGTCAAGTAGTTGCTCCTTGTAAGTTTAAGTTCTCGCCGTATTAGGTTGGACTTAAAACTTTCAACAGCATCAAGTTGAAGGTGAAATGCGGTGTTTGCACAATTGGTACCTATATAAGGCAACGTCTTAGCTGATTTAATTTTACGGGTATTTATTTTATTCTACGGAGTCCGGGCATAATATTGATCTCTCTCGTTACCGGTGACTAAATATTACTTCATAAATTTGCCATCGCAGTTATTCAAGCCAATATTCCCTTACAGGAAACTATGTGTTAGAAACAAAACTTGGTTTTCATTTGTGGCGGCACAATAATACGTAGTAGTGAGCGAAGAAAGATAAGCTCCTCCGTAGTCTAGTGGTAAGGGCACCCGCCCGGCAAGCGGTAAACTTGCGGTTCAATCCCCACCGGAGAAGCAACATTTTTCTTGGCTTACCTACACATTCATAAAAAATATTCATTCATTTATAAATTCATGCTGGAAAGGAATTAAAGTGAAGGACTAATGCTACGTATTATAGCAATTACTATATCTGTGAAATTACGTGCTAACACATTAGTTAAAAACTGCCACCAATGAATGAAGTTTATTTTCATTTGTTCACATTATTATATGAAAGATAAAACTGGTAATACTTACCTCGAACAAAATCTCTCTTAGTTGTAACCGCTTGTCTTCTCTATATATTTTTTTCATTACACAAAAATCTCGAAATTTCGCTACCGGTTTGAAAAAAGCGGTTGTAAATTTATTTTGATAATTCAGATCCTTCGTGTCATATATAAGGGGATGTTAGATCAAACAAGGGGAAAAGAACACATATTTTCATAAAATAAATACTCATTTATTTATTATTTTTAAAATTAAGACAAAATTGCATACACATATCCCTTAACAATGGCAACTCAATATTTAGATTTTACGTTTACAGTAACAAAGGGAATTTAATTTTGAAATTATTTGACTATTGATTCACAAAAAAAACCTATGGATTAAAACATTTTTGTATAATTTAAGTATTTTTATATATATGATTCAAACATTTTATCTGTAAGTTTTCGATGGTGCAGTTAAATTATCTAGCTACCAAAAGTGTTTGACCACAATTTTAAAAATAATAAATTTATTTGGTATTGGATAAAAGTATAAAAGTAGTAAAATTTTTTTTTTAACTTTTCTGTTTTTGTATCTTTTTTTGGTGTTGAGAAATTTAGTCTAATCAAATTTGTGCAATATCACAATCTATTGCGATTACAATCATGTGATCAAACAAATTTGGTAGTTTGACGGAATGAAGTAATCAGTGTGTTGTTGAACTAATTTGTTGATAATTTACGGCGATGTATAAATTACATACGCAAAACAGTTTAACAGTTTGATTATTAAAAATAGATGAAACCTGTAATTTTGATGATGGCAAACTTTAGCAAGTGATATTCTCAACGGAATTTTGTAAAATTTAATTAGAACATCAGGTGTTAAGAACTTACAAATAAAATTTAGAATTAGACACAGATAAATAAGTAAATTCAACGAGAGTAAAATTAATCAATTTGGAACTTTATCATTGTACAAATGATATCACTTAAACATTACTTCACTGAAATAAATTCGTTGCTTACGATAAAGTCCAACTGATACTCTTTTACCTCAAATGCATTTTTGTAAATTATTTTTGTTTTTTTTTTACAAATCTAAATTTAGTCTACTACGTAAAATGCACGTTATCAGTTATTCTGATATCAAACATATCATATACTTATCTACCTACCTACTTTGTTATACAAGAACCATTCGGGTTACAATCGCTTAACCCATGGACGAAATAAACTGCTTATTTGCCGATTACCATTATTTCCAAGGTAGTGCCGTTTTTCGTGTCAGATGTGTCCGTTTTTGCACAAACACTCATACACAAAAAAAAAAATTGCGTCCGCCGATGATATGTACACTAACAAAGTTCTAAATCGATTTGTACTCGAGGTGATTACACCATGTTCGCGAATTCCATGTTACCACATTCTGGCGGATGCCGTGGCCCGAAATTCTGATGGTGAGGAGTGGCCATGCCCATCGCAGTATATCCTGTCATTTGATAGGTCCCAGCCATATTATTCATCGCTTGCATGTGGTTCTGAGTAGATTGCGAATTCAAATACTCAGGCTGCATTTGTCCATAGTACGTAGGGGCATAGTTTTGGGCATAATAGTTATGCGACGGAGTATTGTGCCCATGCCCGTTGGCAGGCCAGTTGAAGGAACTGTAATCATGTTGGTACGCCAGTGGTGAAGCCGAAGGCGAAGGTGTCGTTATCAAACTAGACGTGTTGCTGCCGTGAGGAGTGATATTCCCAGGTGGTCTATAGGTCTGCATTTGTGGAGATTCCTTCTTGATGTTCACCGTTGGAGGTGACACTGACGTCGTAGGCGGCGGAATTCCTGTCGGCGTGGCAACTGTACGAGGCGTAGCTGCAGGGGACGGCTTGCTGGCTTTTACTTTTGCGGGGGCCGTGGTAGACCTGGCGGCTGTTTTGTTCTGTTGCTGTTGCAGCTGTTGTCGGCATTTTGCTCGTCGGTTTTTAAACCAGACCTGAAGGAAAAGAAAAAAATTCATATTATAAACTGAGAACATCTTTGCTTAGAGTTAATTCAACTTAAGTCTTTGCTGTTTAATCTAATATATCCTCTGCGAAACTGTTTTTTTTTTTTCATATACATCTGTGGACTGTTGTTTTATGTATGATTGCTAGTGGAATCTTTATACCACGCTTAATAATGCTCATAAAAATCTCAAAAAGGTGCTCCTCCTGGAACCATATTTTGTTTTCACCTTTCAGAATGGATTCAGACAGAGTTATTTAAAGATTAGTTTCAACACTTCTGCTTCTGCAGAAAATTCTGTTCGCCTTAATTTTAAAATGGGTGTCATACTAGTTTTCCAAACTCTATAAGGTTATGTGGCTGTTGTAAAATTAAGGTATTGTATAGAAGCCGCTAAAGAAAAGTTTGTTATAATTTTGTACCTACCACCCCCCACTGCACATTAATTACAACCTTTCGAAGAAAGTGTTATGGGATTCTTTTTTTACAATGAAGAAATAAAAAATATAATAGAGTGCAGTGAATCATCAGAATGTTAGTGAACTTTTTGGTCGAGCATATTTAGAAATCTAAACTGGCGTAAGTGCTGTAAGAGGACTATCTATTCAGAAGAGACTTATGTAGGTACTAAAGAAACATACATAACAGCAGAATAAAATAATATAAAAAAAAAACGAGAAACTAGTGAAACTAAAAAAGGGACAGAAATTACGACCCAGCTGTGAAAGGGTGAAGGCATATCAAAACAGTGGAGTAACAGGACAATATGCCCGATATACTAAAAGGGAGACAGGGAGAAGACTCAAAACTATAGAAGAATAACTTTGCTATATACGAGCAATGATATTGAGAGGCAGACTAGAAAGGAAATGGGGAGAGAAGGGTTGTTGCCAGACTGCAAGCAGGGTTTATGGAAGCAATAGGAAAAGAAATACACAAGAAAAGGGACCCTCTTTGTTGATTTAAATGGAGAAAACTTGAAGGAATATTTCAAAAAGGAGATGATTGAACATCTTAATAGACAGGATCAAGGAACTGTATAAAAACACAACGATCAGTGTAAGAATCAGAAAGAGAGTAAAAATTTTAATACGATGAAGAGGATAAGGCAGTCTGAGCCCAAGTCTTTTCGCTGCTTACATGGGAAATCTTAGAAATATTTAGCAAACTACAGGTGGAAAGGGTAGTGATTGGGTGTTGGCATATGCGGATGACATTGTGGTAACAGCTAAGTCGGAAGAGAGAATGAAAGAAATGATTAAAAATCTTGAAAGGTATATGAAAACGAAGGCCACTTTGTCAGATATTCTAACAATGGGTGCAAGGGAAAATAGGATAACGAACAAGAACTTTGGAGATGAAGGCAAAATACTACGAGCGCAATGGTTATGTCTGGAACGAAGTAGAAAGAGTGGAAAGTTAAGAAACACAGATGTGTCAGGAGTTCTATAGAAGATTTTGATATATAGAAGCAGGAGGGAAGAGGAGGTGTACGAAATTCTAGGTACAATGATATATAAATATTTAAACATAGTAGGAATAGGAGGAAATAATAAGAAGAGTTAGAGTACTTAACAACCAAAAACAAGAAGGAGCGAAATAATCACGACCAGCTTTTGATACGAGAGCGAAGAGCACAGAAATAAATTTTCGATGAATGAAGAAGAGAAAATATATAGAACGTGTCGAAAAAGCAAAAAACAATATAACATATGATGAAAGAGTGTGATGAACTAAAAGAAAGAGAGGAAAGCAGGGAAGAAATATTGAAAGAAAATAGAAGGGAAATAGAGTGAATGAAGGAAGTGCAACAAGGATTTCATTTAAAGCCCAAGGGGTACAAATAAAAACTTGATTGAAGACTTTACAAATGAATCCCAAGAAGTTAAACAATCAAGTCAAATCAGTGGAGATATTTTTGCTTGTTCTAGTGCCTATTTTAAAAAAGAAACTCGCGAACGAAAAGTTGGAAGTGATAAAATTCATTACTTCCACTCTAAATAAAAATGAATTAGTAAAGCCAGTAACTTGGTAAAAAAAACCCAGTCAAATGGAAGATTTTTGGTGAGCCAGAACCAAGTTCTAGGAAAATAACAAAACCAAAAACGTTTTTATTTTTACACTAGGCATTCAGATTTTTTAAATTTTATGTTAGCAGTGTGACCTCAATTATTTGCGTTATCATAAAGAAAATGAAATCTTACAATCCGATTTAGAACTCATAGAACCAACAATTTTGACGTCTTGGTAAGGATGGATCTAATGATTATTTGTCTACAACATATCTGACACTTCAGATGGTGAAGTAAGTTCTGTCTAAATTCTTTTACCCAATTTTTTCTGGATTTTTTGTTCTAATTCTGACTTCATAACTCTTTTACACATAATAAAATTTTTGTTGGTGTTTAATCTGCTATAGCTAACTTTAACATCAACCAAAAATAAAGCGAAAACAAAGCACTTATTGGTGATGCGAACGTGTCGGCGGCATAACGGTCATTTTACGATGATTTTTTACTTGATTTCTTCGTATCAATCTCGAACACATTGAGAAATTCCCCTCGTAAAAATTGTTAGTCGATAATACATGTTTTATAGGTTGCTCGCCGACGGGAAGGTTTATAAAGGCAAGAGGCGGGCTGTTTTCATGGAACAACCCCACATAATCCGGGAACTAATGGAAAACTGCCCCCTCGTTGCATGTTCTACCTATTGTGTTATTGTAGTGAATAAAATATATACAGTTATCCCAGTGCGGTGCGTCCACAGATTGGATGCTGGGGGAATAAATTCGCTCCCTGCTGTCAAGCCGTTATTGCTCATGTGAAAATACTTTTTGTTTTTGCAGATTTGTGTCACTTAATATTATTAACGGGCTGATTTAATTAAATTTGAACACGCCTACGATGTAATATGTTGCATTCAATTTATTTTAATTGAGTAAACTTTACGACAAACTTTCAATTTCTGGATGGTTTAAACTAAACCTACGCGTCAGCATGTTTCAGATATTTAAATGGCACTTAAAATGACTTTTAGCGCCAATAAATGTGTGTAATGATAAAACAACAAATAATCCCCATATGATTATACAGAGCTGTTAAAAAGTGTGGAGCCAAACAAGCAACCTGTAGATTTAATTTCTTCAAGTTATTAATCTTATTTAAAAGTGACTTCAGATCATTAAATTGGATATTATTTTCGATTTTTAAATTGTGTTAGAATATATATAAATTTATATTGTTTTACTGTTATAGATTTTTCTAATTTTTCTAATGCTTGCATATCTTAATTCGTAATTTAAAGTTGTAATTTTTTTACTTTTTTAACTGCGTTGTAGGTAGGTACTAGCATGCTATGCAGATTTTGCTACCGATTTGTAAGATTTTATCGCCCCTTGTTGAAGTCGATTGTCGTGAAAAATAACAGGTTCAGTTAATTCCCAACATAGTATTTCGTTTCAAATAAACGATTACATTTTTAAAAACCCCACATAAACGTGACATTGCTAAACGAAATAATGGTCGTACGATATATTGTAATTATACATACAAACTTTCATGACAATATAAATAATGTCTAAAAAACAAAACTTCCAATTAGAATTAAAGTCCTGCACCAATTTTATGCAGATTTTAAACATTTTTCAGTGTCGATTATATATTATTCTTCAATTTATTGTAGCCATATTTCGAGTATCAGTTTATAAATAATTAGGCTGATAGATGTTTATTTCTTCTCTATTTCAGTACTGGTTCAAATAATTTGTTGTAAATCTTCTTGTACAGTGCGTTTCACTATGTTTCTATAGAACTAATTGATAGTTTTATATCCGCTAAATGAAAATTTTGTTTGTTTGTTAAATTTTGAATATGGCTAGTTTATGTTTACATTTTTTATTCTCGTAATTTTATTATTTAAAAAAATCCAATTAATATACAGGGTGTTTAAAAAAAATCTAAAATATAATTTTCAACTATCGATTTTACAGTTTTTTCAAATGTATTTTTTTATTGTATTTTACTCCGTTTTTAATTTTCTCTTTTTTGTTAAGGATTTTCTATATCTAAAATTTGTTTTCGAAAATACTTTACAATACAAATAACTTTTGGAACATATCAGAACAAGTTAAATACAGAAAGCAAAGTATGCTTTTTAAAATTTTAAGGAAATTATGCGAAAACATATCTTCTCAAACTGTATCATTTTTGATAGATCAAGGAACAATATTTTGTACAACCTTTAATTACAACTCCATTATAACATAACTCTTGTATATCATTAAATCCAAACAATTTGTATATATCACGACAGCAGATCCGAAGCAAACAGCAGCTGTGCTGTGTCAAAAGACTAACCAGCCTTCAAATTGAATCATTACCTAGAGGACGGCAAACATTCCGCCCCTTGTATTATACCATTGTCGTCGCAACACCACAAATGCAAGTCGCAGCCTTCAATCAGCATGTTAAAAGCATGCAAGAAAAACATGCACGCTGCTGTCACACTTTAACACCGAACGCATTAGAAAAAATACCCTTTCCTGGACCTATAACTGTATCAAAACTCTGCAGATTGTGAAAAAAGGAAATGATGGAAATAACGGCACAAAGCCGGTAACGGATTTGTTGACATAGCTGGTTAAAGCGTGTAAACGCATAACTCATTTTTCATGGCAGTGTCGAAAGCTGTCAACGCTTTTCAAATTTGTGTATTGGTTTTGGGCAATAAGTCATAATGTCGTGTCGCCGCGATGCGTTAGGGCAGACACATTTATTAAACATGAGTTTACCGATTTTAAACGGAAAATGCATAGATGAAGGCAATTTGTAATAATAAGTAGCAGCAAATATTGCTTAGTATTATAGATCAAAGCACTCTGCCAAGAATTTTAGTTAATTTATGCGTGTTTATATAATGCATGTTTAGGATGTTTTTAGACAAAAGTGAGTCATGAAATTTTTCTTCACGTTGGATAAACTGATTCATTGACAAAATGGTTTGTGTCAGTGCGTAAGATTGATATTCATTTGAGGTTGACTTTTTCTCTTTTTTTTCTATCCTATGTACTTGTGTGTGAAACAAAAAATTACCAAATTTTTAAGTATGTCGTAGAAATTTTATGTCAAATTTTGAAATTTATTGATTTGTCAATGAACAGAATTTTTGGTTTATTCAAAATTTTACTACTCTACTTAATTCTGAAAAATGAAACGGTTTAGTGATCAAGCAAAACAAGTTATATTAAATGTTTTGGATTATCTAGAAATAAACCATGACGTTGTGCCAATTAAGAAAAAAAAAACAGAACTGGCGACCGAAAAAATGTTAAAAATTTCTGAAAAATCTGTATGTAATTTACAAAAAAAATACAGGTTCAAGTGATACGGAGTACAAAGAGAATATGTTCACTACTATTAGAAATATAAAAACTCAAGTAAATCCTGTAGATTTAATGTTGCAGTTGAAATTGTATGGTCGGAATGTAAATGAAAGTACGATTAAAGTATTCCAAAAACTAATCCTTCTCCTTTTGAAGTACGGAAAACTTAGGAAAATGTAATATACACTAGGAAAAATCATAGATTCGACATGGCAAATAGAAAAGATTCTGGACAATTATGAAACAAATCAAGTCATTATCAATGTTAATTCCGTTTCAGATGACAACGGTAGTGAAGATGATGACAGTGGTGTTGATGATTTAGAGGTGTTAAAAAATAATATCTAATTAAAGAATAGAACTTATAATTATTCAGTTAGTCTTGTACTTCTGCAGTTTGGCTTTATATGTTACCGCAGCAAGTTATCCGTAACATACAAGAAAACACATACTTTTGGTCAGTAAAAAAACGTTACGGTTTAAGTGTTTTGAACAGGGATATTTCTACGACTTTAAAAACCATATTATCAAGTTCAAACATTTCTGACTTCTGTCATTAAAAATTAATTTCTTAGAACAAAAATTTCTACAAAAAGATGATATCTGCAAATGAAAAAAATAGTCCCTAACTCAAGCGTGAAGAGTTAATGATGAGAATTGCAAACATATTTTCTGTGACTTTCAGTGTTTTTAAATATTTGTTAATCAAAAAATTTTTGTAAGTCAACGGGCAATTGCAGAGGAAACTTTTTCAAATTATATTAACATATATCTAATTATGATAAAAAAAATTATAAGACACAATCGGTAGACAATAACGTCGTTAATTCGCTGCCAAAAACCATCAATTTTACAGGTCTGTTATTGTACAAAATTGAATTGAATTGTTTCTCATAGTGCTTTATTTGAAACATGAGTCTTGCGAGGAAGTATTTTTTATGCAGACGCATAACCCGTGAAAATAAGGATATATGAGTATAGAAAGAAACTTTAGCAGAACGTTTCTCTTTGTAGTGTTGTTTCTTTAATTACTTCTCACTAACATTTAAAATTTGTTTACATTGAAAGTACACCAATAAATTAGAAACAAAAATTATATATTTTCTTAAAAATTCAGAACGACCTGTAAGACTGTAAGCAAATTGAAATATTTGTGGTGTTTTGTGTATCAACAGTTCGAAAAAGCAAAGTAATGTTTAGGAACATAACATTTTTATTCTAGGTGTGGATATTTCAACTGACCTGGACTCTCGATTCGGGAAGATTGATCTTCACGGCAACCTCCTCCCTCATAAAGATGTCGGGATATCGAGTCTTGGCAAAAAGAGCTTCCAATATGTCAAGCTGCGATCTGCTGAACGTTGTCCGCTCTCGTCGTTGTTTTCGTGGATTCACTCCTGCAAAATACGGATAAACTGGGCATTATGCTTTTGCCAGTAGACTGGAAAACATTAATTATTCAAACATTGTCCACAAGACGGGACTCTGAAAAATAAAAGTACCATGCACCTGGCAGCATCCTCGGATCTCTTTCTAATTTTAAACCCGAATAACCCATTTATCACGAATGACTGACATAAATTCGTTAATTTGCATTCGAATTTATATCCAGTAGCTAGTCGCTTGGAAAAATCAAGTTAACAAATCATCGAAATTATTCTTCTGATCGCTGTCTCGCTTTATATGGTAAATTATGCCTCTGGATGAGTTTCGTATAAAACTCAAGACTAGTAGCAACGGAATCAAATCTAAATTGTTCCAGTCTACATTTTCAACTCTTTATGTGCGTGCTTGCCGGATTACCGCGCTTGTTCAGCCAGCTGGTCTCAATGTAGTCCTTTTTATTCCCGACATTTATCGGGGATTATATCGACGCGGCAGCTTCGAGGGCCGTTGCTTTATGTTAAATCAATACCTCCCAATGGTTCGTCCCGTAATTTTCGGAATTAATTTTAACTCGGTCTGTGCTACATCCCCAAATAAATACCAAGACTTTGTCTATACACGGAAACGCAATAACCTCAACAATCGACGCTCCGGGCTACAAGTACGCGACGATTTCTCCCGGAGTTATTGCCACTTGGGGTTTCCGTCCGCAACTGCAATGAATACATCGGGTGCTAATAGATCTGTAAATACGGGGGCTCCCTAAATGCGACGGCTACTCTCCAAGGGGCGAAATTTGATACGGCGCTCTTAAGGAGCCACTGTACTGAATTAAAGGGCGTAAAATATTCAATGGAGAAATCAGAGCTTCAGAAAACGAAAAGTGCAATCTAATGGAAACGCATATTTAAATCGTTTTGTTGTCTAAGTTGCTCAGAAATGACAAGAATGCAGGGTTGCACATCTCTTTCACTCTGCGAGCTTTATTTACTCCAGCTACATTGAATGTGACACAATATATTTAATTTTGATTTAATTAAACAAAAACATTCGATGATGAAAAACCAAAAACTGCGAACAGGAGTAAGGAAAACTGAAACTAATTTTAATACGAAATTTAAAATGATTAACGTAGATAATAATTAGTACGATGTTTACATAATTTACAGATGCAACTAAATTTTGTAAAATTGCACTTATGAAAAGGTTATTCATGCATCAGTTATGTATAATATATTAATTGTTGACGTATACAAAAAAATTACAAGGCTAATTCTGCACGCATTATTTTAAAGCTCACTTTTCAAATGATGATTTATTTCAAGTATTTTTTTCTTGATGGTGATAAACAAAAAAGTGTACTTTCTGAGATAAGTGAAAGAAAAAAAATAAAAATAAAAAGTTAAAAAAACCACAAGGGCACATGCTGCAAATTATGAACTTACAATTTTTCCATTTATCTTCGTCCATTAATAATTTATTAACATTATATATTCTCCGAAACTATTGAACCGGAAACTTTGAATTTTTAATTTTTTTTAAATTTTTTTTTTAATTTTATGATGAACTACACAGTCTGTCTATTCTATCTAACAAATTTTTGACATAAGAGCAGGTTGCCTTGAAAAATCAGTTTCGTCTAAAATTCAAAAAGCGACCAAAATTGTCATTTTTTAAAAATTATTAAGTATATTTTACATACATAAACATAAAAGGATGTGGTACAATTTATCTTTTTCGAGATATCAAAAAAATTGGTCGAAGGTTATTTGGACAGAACTTCCCTCGCCTCTGAAGTACCTACAATAGAACATTCAGGTTTTTTTCGAAAAATGATAAAATTTGATTTTGCAAAAATCAATAAAATAAATTGATTTATTCATTCATTCTTGATATGCAATTTTAAAAAAATATTAATGCAATAACAAATCATAAGTATAGACTGACCATATTTTGCACAACTTCGACAGAATTTATTTGGCAAAATTTTGAAAGGGAGGTACAAATATATTTTGAATACAAATTTACCATGTTTACGATAACTTTAAAACCTCTGCAAGATTTCAAAATATTCGGTTTTGCAGATTCAAAATTAAATTGTTTTTTTTAAATAAAATTTTGATTTTATTTAAAAAAAAATTGGCTAAAAACCCGACGCGGGTTCAAAAACTACACGTGTAGAACTATGTAATTTTATGTAATTTACAGCAGACAGACAAATAGAAACGGGAGACCTATTTTTCCGAGTTTTGGGGGTCATGACACATGAGACCCGATTACAATACTGCTTTAGTTTAATCGCGGCAAGTACAAAAGACATAAAGCGGTTTTTAAAAAAGAACAATAAATTTGCCATTTTATCTTAATAAGATTTACCAAGATTAACAACCACGTGCGATAAAAAAAATTAACTTCACTCATTTCTTCACAATGAACCACTTGCAAAATACTGTCCATTCATTTAAAAAAATATGTTTCACGGATTTTCCGTTTTTGTTCTCGCATGACCATTGGCCACGGAAAAGTTATTAGAACAGATATTTGGGACGATTTTAAACAAAGTTGGTGGGTGGGCGGGGTTAATTATATGTTCTTCTACTAAATGTTAGTGAGCCTGTTAAAGAAGCAAAAAAGCGCTAATCCTAATTTTTTTGTCATACTATTTACTATAAGATTTATTTCTTATTTTAGAAGAAAAAATTAGAGAACGGGTGGGTGCGTGGGGCTAAGTTTAACTTTTTCCTGCAGATTCTTTTATAAGCAAGCAATAGTGCCGCCCATGCAGCCCCTCTTCATTCTAGTAACTACTTTTACATCGTTTAATCTTATCTTTGGAAGGCCTATTTCAATTGTGATAATTTTTTTGTTCGCCGTGAACCAAGGGGCGGAGCTTAACTGCAAAATACAAAATACTTATTTCTTAACAAGAAATTAAACACATGTTTTTGAGTATCGTGTTGTTCAAAGAATATACTATGTATATTAAGAAAAAAAGGGCAAAATATAAACCCCGCCCACCCACCCCATCTCAATTGTGATGTTTTTTTAGTTCTTAGAAACTTAAAACACGTTTAAAATGGTAACTTTTTGTAAGGAAATATGAATTTAGCAATTAGGCTCCACCCCTAGGTTTGAAAACAAATGAAAATTTCATTACTATTTATCAGGGCTTTAATTTTTTCTCAATATATGCACACCTTTCTTCTTTGAATAACGCGATAGTCAAAAACATGTCTGACATGGTAATTTCTTGTAGAGATAATAAGGATTTTGCAATTAAATTGCGCCCCTCTGGCTATTGACGCCTAAAAAAATCATCCCAGTTGAGACAGGGCGGGTGGGCGGGGCTTATATTTTGGATTTTTTTCTTAACATACGTCTGTCGTTTTTTCAGAACTTAAAACATGTTTAAAATGGTAAATTCTTGTAGACAAATATTGATCTTGCAATTAAGCCCCGCCCCTCGATCTGACAATGAATGAAAAATTCATCACGGTTGAGATCGAGACGGATGGGTGGGGCTTCTCGTTCGATTTTCTTTTTTAATTAATACATTTAGTTTTCTTTGTATAAAATAATTACTTAAAAACACATTTCACATGGTAATAATCTCGTAGAAAAATAAGGATTTTACAATTAAGCTCCGTCCCTCAGCTTACGATGAATAAAAAAATCATCAGAATTGTGACAGGGCGGATGGGCGGGGGATATTTTTTGCCTTTTTTTTTAATATACACAGCCATCTTTTCATAACAAGAAACTTAAAACATGGCTAAAATGGTTTTTGCAAGGAAACATGGATTTTCCATTTATGGGGCGGAGCCTATTTCGAAATCGATATTTCCTTATTATACAAATTTTCCATTTTAAACATGTTTTAAGTTTCATGCTGTGAAAAGAAGTCTACACATATTGAAACAAAAAGGTAAAATGGAAGCCCGCCCACCCACCCTTTCTCAATGTGACGGAGCTTAACTGCAAACTACTTATTTCTTTATAAGAAATTAAAAATGAGTATCGTGTTGTTCAAAGAATACTATGTATATTAAGAAAAAAAGGCAAAATATAAAAAAAGAAGAAGAAATTTCATTTCCAAAACCGAATTGTAAGCAAAAACAAAAACAGTGTCCATTAGATTAGAATGTCTAGTGTGTCTTTTTTAAAAAGCTAACTGAAATTTGAAACATCTTTTCACGCATAAACTAAAACTTACCTGAAAGTCTGAAGTTGCCACATTAAAAAGAAATCGTTTCATAGTAAAGGTAATTAGCTGCTAAGAGAATTAGTATCTAATTTGCCAGAATTCAAATCTTATATAACTGCCCTCCTCATCTAATGTTCTTGGTTACGCCAACAAATACTTGTGGGGATTATTACATTGCAACATATAATGCAAGTTTGCCTAACGTTTCAGTTCCTAATTATTCTCAATAACCGTTGTTACTAATTCCACTAAAAGATTCCGTTACGTGTAGATATGCATTAACAATATTTCAGTAGAAGCATACGTAAAACTGTTGGTGTTCTACTAGTGATAAGAAAATAAACGATGATTATCATCATTAAAATAAACATTAGATGGCAAACAAAAATGTGTCTAAAACAACGGCAACGCTAATGTGGTGATTATTTTATATCACTCTATTGTCATCCCGATATGATAATTTCGATATGTCGAGGTTAAAATCAACTCCTTAAAATTCCAAACTCCGCATCATCTGCCCTCACAGTTTGGTTTATTTTCAATTACGAAGCTCATGTGTTAATTCAAATTAGCATTTTATCGGCGAGTGTACGTGTTTGCATTCGAAGAGTGCACACAGTAGTTGTAAGGGGTAAGGGGTGCCCGGATTACCCTAGAACAAATATTTTCTTAACTTCCAACATAAACGGAAGGCGAAAAAGTCATCATTACACATACCAGTGGTTGTAAATAACGGAAATAAATAAATTTCCTCTTACATGAGTACTAACAATAGAAACATAGCACATTGTTTGTTGAACGATGAATTTACTACTATGAATATAA